AATTAAGACAACCACAGCATCAACAGAAGAAAAATGTATTAGTAATTCTAAGAATCCACAAGTTAAAGCAGAGGAGAATATATTATAGTATGTTAACCACACTATATCTGCCATATCCAGTGCTAATGAAGCCTTTTGCTCAATACCAGGGTTTATAAGTTCATAATTACGTAAAACAAATGTTAATTAATTAGTCATGTGACTTGTAATCTAATAGTCTGGCATGACAGTGAAGAGTCTTAAGACAATGTTAGACTGACAAGGACAAGGGGTGTTAGGTTAGACTTGTTAAAAGATATTGCAAGTTCCAGCTTGATCTTTTATTAGTTATTTACCATAATTTCTTTGACATAATTATAGTGAATAATCTTAAGAACAAGATTTTTCTTCTGGTTCTTTTTTCCTAATTCATTATTACTGCTATCATTATTTGATGATTTTGATATTAACAATGTTTTTTGTTTTTTAATTTTTTTAATATTGGTGTTTGTATTCTATATTGAAATGTTTATTACAACCTCCTGACCAGGAACTCTTATTATTTTGTAAAACTTCTACTGTAAAGGTTTGGAGACAGCTTGAATACCTGGGTAGTGGAAGAAATTTTATTACCAATGTACATCAGGTACCTGATGATGACATAAGCTTGTCAAAATGTACATTTGAAAGAAAGTTCCTTTCACTACCCATCAAACCATCTCAAAATTTTATTTTCTAAAAATTGGGTTCCTTGTCAAACTTGTACTGTGTTTAATAAATATCCTAAATTTTCATACCTTGATATTAATGATAGTATTTGATACATTACAGTATTAAACAAAGAATTAACTGAAATACCAGCTTGAGAATTAACATGAACTTCAGAAATCAAAGTGAGAAAGACAGCACAATATGTGAACACATAGCTGTCACCAAATAAATCTGAATTATAACATAAAAGCAGAGCCTATGTAAGATCTCCTGATACATACACAATAAGTCGCTTGGAAGGTATAAGATTGGAGAATTATGGGTAAGTGATTCATGTTCTGCATTGTACCAAGGTAATTTAGAACTTGAGTTACATGGTTGTTGACAGTGTAACAGCAAACTCAAAAAGAAAAGTACCTCAGAATTAAGTCTATCTGACTTGAAACTGCATATTCTAAAACTAAATGCTTAGTGAACAACAAAAAATCCTTTGATAGCATTTATTTTAAACCAACACAGACTTATGCACTGAGTTTTTAATTGTTTTTTTTTTCTCTTTAATTTTTGGATTTGCTGATAAAACAATAATTTAATTTTGGAAAACAAAAATATAACTGAAACAATTAAATAATAAAAGCTAAGTAGTGTAATAACAAAGTTTCACTTTTTCCATGATTAAAACAAAGCCCATTTTCCTCCTCGGTATGTCTACATACCTTATGCTAAATAGTCCCCTTATAGCATTCATTAACAACAAAATGTAATAGTCATAAAACAGAACAACATAGTACATTTCTTAATGGGTCAATCATATGTTTTGCAGTTTTACAGCTTCATATTTAAGAACCATTCATAAAAATATCTGTGCAAGTTCCTCATAATGATGAAGCCTAGGCAACTGCCTTGACTTAACCCTTTTGCTACAGGTAGGTCAAAGTACAAGTTATGATTTTAATAGAATTACTTTCAAGTTTTAAATAAACTACTTTATTATCATTGTATATGAATAAACTTGGCATCAAAACATAGTTAATAAATCAAAATGTTATAGAAATTTTAAATTCTTAATTTTGTTAAGAAATATTGAAAAAAAAACCTCAATTTCCCCTAATATGAGAGTTGTGACATTTGTTCTTTAGGACTTTCCCTTTTCTGTAATTTGTTTACCACCCCATTGAAAAGTACAGAATTTAATGCAAATTACTCATTATAATATATATATTACTAAGTCAAAGCATAATTTGTATAACCATCAATCTTATTTGTTTACAGTACCATAAACTAGAAAATCAGACCCTCTTGCCATACCCACCTGTCACATCCTCTCTTTCACAAATTGCCAATAGTTCTGTTTATGTTATACCAATTAGTATAGCAAAAAATCATAGCTAATAATCCATATTTTAATAGTATACAAGTTAAGTTCTTAATTTTATAAGACAATATTTTTAAAAATCCTGAATTTCCTCTAGCACGAAAAAATATGACATTTTTTCTCTAGTCATCCCCTCTTCTCTATTTTATTCACCACCACCTCTAAATAAGTACAAAATTTAGCATAAATTGCTCACTATATAATTTTAATTTCCCAGACAAACCATTTTTATAGCCTTCAATTTTGTTTGGTTACAGAGTCATCAAAAAGAAAATCATACCCCTCTTGCCACACTCACCTGACATCCTCTCTTTCAGGATTTGTTACTAGTTCTCTCTTATGTTTAATTCTATATTATGTATAACCAATAGAAAGCTAAGGTTTTCATGTATCAAATGACTTATTATATTACATTGTTTTCTGAATGGAGAATTGTCAATTTTTCTGTTAGTACAAGCTTCATTCCTACAAGAAACATAATGACTATCTTGAATGAATTTGTAATGACTCTTGTTGCATAATTAGAAAGAAAAATTGTGATAGTTAGAGGAAATTGTCCATTTTTTGCAGGTTATTATTCCATGTTCTTTGATGCATTATTTAATTAAATAAAAATCATTTTGTGCACTACTACCATTAGTATAAAAAAGTACGGTTAAGTGTCATCGACAGTGTACAGTAAAAAAATTTTCAGCTGAAGAAAAGTACTTTTAATCTTAACATGATCTTTGTACTTGAAGCAGTCAACACTTCGACTCTTATAGATTCATGGGCAAATCGTTAGTAAAAATACTTAATCAAAAAATCTTTTAATGTTTACTGAATGCTTGCCAAATTTTGTGAGAATACACAAATCATTAAAAGTTATAGTATGGAAACTGATGGTTACTTTGGGGTCACAGGTTTGACATAATCCACCTAGTTCAGAGCAAGAAGTTTAAGGCTGACTCTGTACACTTTTATAGCTTTTTAGGCAAGAATTAAGTATGAATGTATGAAACATTACTCACCCTCTTTTAACCTTACAAAAGTCAAAAGCAACAGATCTATAAGACACTGCTTTCTCATTGAGATACTTGGCATACCTTCTGATGAATGTGGACATGTCATATCCTAAAAAGTAAACATTGTGTTTTCAATCAGCCTTATATTTAAAGAAGCATTATGTTATATATAAACTTGGAAAACTTTAAATATACAACAAGTACACCAGAAACATAGTTCCGAGTAATGTCCAAATTAAAGTATATTTCATGCTTCTAATGAAACTGTACTTTTTATAATTGTATAAAAGTTTTTATCATAATAAAAATGAAAATCAAATATTAATTACTTAAACTTAATGGGGTTTTTAAAATCTAGTTATAACATTTATGATGTTTTGACAAGCCCAACAACAAGAAAAACTACCCAATCCAGTTTTTCTTAATTTGAATTGAAATTTTTGGTACATGTTTATTGGCTAAGAAGAAGGCATTTATTGCACTCTTTTTAATGTTGGGGCTGCAAAAAGTGATTTTGAAGTGGAAAGATTACTGAAATCCGTCAGCACATCACAAGTACAATGGTCAAGCAAAAGAAGCATGGAAGTCTCCAAATGGCACGCAAAGGTATTCAGGAACCATTTAGAACCATCTTGGTAGATATTGTGCAGCAAGACAAGTACAATATTATGCCTGTAGCCGCTTTCAAAGTATTCCTGTCTGCTCATCCTACTGCTGACTATCATGATGCTTCAACCTTCCCTACCGAATTGCAGATGATATCGTCCGTATCTCAATTGAAAGCTAAGCATAAAAATTATCTTTTTGAGATAACTTTGAGACAAGTTTCTCTTTGTTAATTTATAAATATTTGAATTAAATACAGCATCCTCAAGTCTCCATACTAGCTAGTACTAAGGTCTACCCACTGGGAGTAAATTCAGTACATATCAATATAGCCACATTCTCAACATCATTAATTAAGTGATTGCCAACCTTTTATGTTTTTGCTATCACCGTCCAAAACCACCCTCTTTGGGAGTTTTCAGATTGAACCTACTTTTAACATTCAACAAATTGTAGTGTAAAGACACCCCTTGACTTCTGAGGGACGTGTTAAACCTCTCATAATAGGTTTTATTTATAACCACCAAATTAATTAATCTATACAATATGCACAAAACACACAATTATTTTATTCAAACCACAGACAAATAACCTAGAATTCCAAAGTACCACAGGTGAGACATATAAAAAAACAAACATTTCAATGTAATGCTTACATTATAAATTACAACGCAGAGGGCTGTATCACTAACTGTTGCTACTTTATAGTCAAAAACAGAAGTTTATTCCACATATTCATAATGCTTTTACAATCAGAGTCTTAGTACTCTGTGATTGGCCAGTGTTTTAATAATAGCTAATGTTCAGTGTTATACATAATGTAAACGTGGCAAGTTCTACGAAGTAAAAATGTAATCTTTATGGACCTGTCACCACTGAATTTTTTTATTTTTAATTAGCAGTTATTATGGATCAAATGCTCAGTGAAACATACAAAAACAAATTGACTACAATGAATTGTGACACATTCAATTGGCATGTTTTCCTCATGACTCGTAACTTTTCATATAACAAAACTGATAAGAGCTTATACAACACACACATATGCTATTAGTAATATTATGAAACATTATGTGTGTTACATTTTCTCTATTGGTGAGATGGTGGGGATACTTACCACAAACTCTGACTACTTCATCTTTTAGTTTGTCTTGTTTCGAATTTCGCACAAAACCACTGGAGGGCTATCTGCTCCAGCCATCCCTAATTTAGCAGTGATAGACTAAAAGGAAGGTAGCTAGTCATCACCACCCACCATCAACTCTTGGGCTACTCTTTTACCAACAAATAGTGAGATTGACAGTCACATTATAACACACCCATGGCTGAAAGGGTGAGCATGTTTGGCGATGGGAATTCAAACCTGCAACCCGAGTGCCCTAATGACCAGGCCACTTCATTTAGATTATATTCCATGTTACAACATATATATATAATAATAATAATAAAAAAAAAGCTACAAAACCCTTACAACTCCAATTTAAATAAAATTTCTGATACTAAAATATACAAGTAACAAGCACATTCCTTTCCAATAGCTTATCTCATAAGCACAATAATGAAAAATAATCAAAAAGTCATGCCGTCACTCTCGAGGATGCATATTTATCACTTGATAGTCACCTAGCATTGTTGTATTGTATACTATGATGCACAATATATATGATAAAATAAATTCTAATAGCAAATAACTCAATTAATACTTAATGGGAACTTAATTCTCCTTGACATTATGAAAGTAAAGTTTACTTTCTTGTATCAAATAATAAACATGGAGATGTTATGCATAGTTCTGAAAAGTAACTATCATTTATTGAAATAGAATAGACAGTTTATTTTTCTACTTGTCGTAAGCGAAACTGCTTTATTGGCGGCTTAAGAGAATGACAGAATTGTGTTCTTGTAAACATTAATTTTAGCTTGCTCCATGTGCAAAGACAGAATGACCATATTTACTTATCTGAAGACAGAGATAAATGAAATTCTATAAGATAGACATCATGCATGGTACATCACCATTCCATTATATACCTATCTTTAGGTCCTAAGTTGTAAATAACGTTACAGCTTTGTAAACTATGACCAAGAATGCTAATAAATCTACTGTAAAAGCACTTCATTACTTATTACATATTGGTTTATTTTGGCTGTGTTACATAGTGTTGACTCAGATAAAATGTCATTCAAAGCTAGGTAAAACTTAAAACTTGACAGAGTTACGAGTAGTTTCGTTAAGAAACCTTTCATTTTTAGGGTTTTCAGAGTTTTTTTGAAGTCGCTTGTTTTAGCATAAAATTAAATAGCAAACCACAATTATGTTAGTTACAATCTAACTTTGTTTTGGTGTTGAAACTACAAGAGAAATTATTTATAAAAAAAATGAAATACAATGTTACCAAGAACGAGCTGTTTTATATCAAATATTTCTTTTATTTGTTTGTTTGTTGTAAATACAAATATACACAAAACCTCACCTGGTTTATTGTGACTCAAAAATACAGTAATGTTCACACATGATAGTACATGTTCAAGTGTTTAATTTTATTCCAACAGGTCACGTGTTAAAGGCCATGTCATCACATTTGTTGACTTGCATTCAAAATTTTATTGAATCTTGTTTATTATATTGAACT